GGCAAGCGCCGCAAGAACTGCAATGCAAATCCCGACATATCGTCTAGCTCGTCGATCCCGGGTATTATTCTTCGGTACTGCGGCAGCTCTGCCGTTGTCTCCATGCACATCACGGCTCCTCCTGCGCCCACGTGTCACGACACCGGTTGGGTTCCTTGCGGCTTGTACAGCTTGGGCGGAAATGCTACCTAGACGCCACCGGTCAGAATAGCACCTGACGTAACATCTCCAATGGAAACCTGATACTATCACCTATACTATGGCAATGGATATCTGTAATATATCGTCTGTAGAATATCATCTATAGAATATCGTAAAGTGGGAGGGTCTAGAAATCCTATCCATTGACAATGCGTGGCTTTATCGACGTGAGCTAGGTAACCCGAGGCTACACCTATTTTTAACATGCAGCTCAATTCTTTTTACGTATTCTTTTATGTATAATACTTGAAATATTTAAGGATTTCATAGAAGTGGGAGGACCTTGTTCGGTGGTTAAGGCGATAGGGAAGAGAACTACTGACCACACAAGAGCTTGAAGAGTAGGTATCTATGAGGCAATTAGAGGAGAAACGAAGAACTCTCGCTTGATTAACGTTTTATATTCATATGTGGCCTATATAAGTCAGGATACCAGCAGATATCCTAATCGGTGCCATGAAATAAGGTCTTCAGCTAAGTAATATGAACCACTCCTTGAACCCTCCGCGGAGTGAAGGCAGTCGATATGGTACACTCAATTCGCCGTGTTCGCAGAATCCAGCTCTAATGGGAGAAACGCCGCCCAATGCAGGTTACTGGTATCGCATTCTAATTCGTCATCGCTTGCTATGCCTATCATTACACCATGAAAGATTCGCCGCAGCCGCATTCTCCCTCTTCATGTACATTAGCGTCAACGCAAGTAAGACGGAATATGGGAGACTCACTGATATTTGGATTGTTAAAGTGGAAGCGCTGGCTCAGTTGATCCTCGATCCAGTCCATTTCGCTGCCTATTATGCTAAAAAGCGCCTTGCTGTCTATCAACACCTTGACCCCGTCCTGCTCGACTTCCTCGTCGAAGGGTCCGGCCTTGTCGACATAATCTAGGTGGTACGAGAGACCGCTGCACCCTCTGTTGCGCACACCCACTTTGATCAACTTGGGTTCCGGTTGGTCTAGCAAGCCACGAAGATGCTCTACAGCTGAGGGCGTGAGCTTCAAGGCAGCCTTGCGCGGTCTCAGCTTGCGCTTCGGAGCTGTTGGCTTGGGCTTTTGTGTCGTCTGCTCTATGGCCGGCTCGGGCTGCGCAGCGGCCTTTGGCTGAGTGGACTGTTGATCAGGAGGTCGCGTCTCGTGAACTGTCGGTATCGGGCTTGCGATCGAGGCCTCTGAGACGGGTTCTTTGCGCGGGGTAGGCGGCTGCTTTGCGTTTAGGGGATAGGGTTGGTAAGATGGTATCGTCTGGATCTTGTCTGACGATGCGTACCACGGCTGGTAATTGGAGAATTGTCGTAGAAGGGCTTCACATGGTCGCGTGGTTGGAGCAGCTGTGGTAAGGCCACGGCCCAATAGCCCGGCCGAAGCTCGTGAAAGAGCTATGCGCGGCGCAATCATTACGGCGCAAAGCACGGTGGCGTGCTACCGGAGGCCGGCAGTCAATGCCCAAATACGTACAAGAACGCCGGTTGTCTCGGAAGTATAGGCGCTGTTAAGATAGTATTGAATTCGTAAGTATGGCATAGGTTTGTGGTTTGTGGTTTGTGGTTTGTGGTTTGTGGTTTGTGGTTTGTGGTTTGTGGTTTGTAGGATTGAACGTTCGTGTGGTTTATGGTGATGGCAAATTATTAACCAAATTATTAACCAATTGCATATTGCAACTGACTTGCTTGGAAAGCACAGCCGATATCTGACGGTATGACATAGGTCCATTGTAGCCCGGCTTTGGCCGAGCCAATCAGAAGCCATGGAATGGTAATTCATTTTGTGGAATCCCGGGTGAATGGTTGGCGGGAAACGACTTAATCCGTCGATTCAGATTAGATAAGATGGAAAATGAACAGTGGGGACCGAGACCGGGTACCTACGCGTACCTTACGTTATGTAACATGCAGCAACTGAAGCCAGTCAAAGCACAGTGCAATACGCGACATCGGGAATTTGGAATTACACGGAATCGCTGAAGCCCAAGTCCATTGGTGTGTCGCATGCCTCATTTCCCATTGTTCGAGATGCACAAGTATCAGATGTCGGATTGGCATAGATACTAATACTCTTCCTTATACTATCCTCCTCGTTCCCGTGATAGCATGTTCATCGTATAATACGAGTTGCGTTTATGCGTTATCCATCCATGCATCAGCATCAGCATCCGCATCAGCACCGGCACCAGCATCCGCATTCGCATCGTCGTCGGTCATGGAAGCCTCTCCCTTAACCCAGCAGGCCCGACCTGAAACCTTCCAACCCAAGGTCGTCCAATTATACGAGGCGTTATTTAAGGTTCGGGAGCATTGGATTCCCCTGTAATGAGACTGGGCAAACGCTGACAATGGGAATCTAAGGTATGTCGCATCACGTATCTCGTTGATAAGAGTGACTCTAGCTGGGTCTCTGACCAACATCGATTAGGATGACGACCCGGAAGGGGACAAGCCCGAGGGCTTCTGGCGCGAATTCTTCCTCCTGAAACCAGAGCGAGCTTCCTTGCAGGAAATACTAGCGAAGCTGGGACCGGACGACGTCCTAAACCTACAACTACAAACCCAACAACTGTTCTTTCGAGCCGTAGAATGCTTGAAGAAAGGTAGTGGCCCGGCCCACTTACATGCTCTCGAGGTAGGATGAACCCTATCTCTGAAACTCGTAGCAGCAACCTCTCTAACAAGAACTACGTAGACCCTAACGACCTTCTTTTCCGCCATTCTCCGCAAGAAGTATACGAACCCAAGCTCCGATATTATAGCTGTGCTGGCAGGGTTGGATCAGGTTGACTCGGTATTTACCGATTTCGTAGGTGCTTTGGACGGAATAATTCGCAATGGCCAATCAAGTAGGTGGACATTATAGCTACGAGGCGGAGAAAAGCTAACAACAGGGGTATAGTGGATGTACGGCAGAGAGCTGTGGAGGTTGTGTTGTCCATCACCTCGGGCGCGTACCAGACAAGCCTCTTAACATACTTCATACAGCGGGATCTATTCCCCGCTATGATGAAGGTTAGCTTCAGGGTCATGGTTGTAAATCGAGATTAGCGAGACTAACTTGGTATAGTTCATTCAAGAATCTGACTCGTCGACTAGAGTCCTTGAACCGTTCATCTTGTTGGGTCTACTGGCAAACTACAACAAGTTTGAGTTTCAAAATCCCTATCAGCTACGCCTTAACGATTTCGTCAATGAAGGCGCCATACAGAAGATCATCCGATGCGTTGGATATACTTGCCGGAACTTACGGGGCCAATACATCAACATCATACAAGACTTACCTGAAGGTTGGTCGATCTCTACCACTCTGAACATGATCGGGCTTGGAGCGATTGCCCCTGGTTCTAAGGCAAATCAGAAGCCGACGTATGATCCGGAGGTAGCCAAGCAGATGTTCGCAAAATTGTACGTGGCCCTTCCGTATATCTTAAGGTTATTTGCTGACATGACCAGGCCGGGCGAAGATGCTTCCGTGCTACTAGGCACGTACGACTTTAGCCATGCTAACAAGCTCTTTTGCTTCAACCTCGTCACGCTACCTGCCGAAAAGGGCGAAGAACAGCCCATCTCCAGCTTTCTCTCGTTGACTTCTTACCTCCTCCAACATGCATTCCTCTCCGCCCGTGCCACCAACTATGCACACCTCAGCTTGATGGTTTTCCGGTTACTGATCGAAGACCAACTCTTATGCAAGCGGATATGCAGTGACGAGAGTAAAGTTGCCGTTCGACTCTGCCGTCAACGGCAGCCATTCCTGCCTGTGGCTCGGGGAGACCGCATTCTAGCGACAAGTGTCTTGGATACTATGATTGATGGCATCAACCACAATCTACGTCGCAGATTAGATATCAGCCTGTACACTCTATGTGTCGGCATCATGCTGCGCATCATCTCGTATCTCTCGCGGTCGCGTACGCGGTTGCAATACCATTGGTCCGAGCTGTTTCGCTCACTTTTGGCCCTCATCCGCTTCCTCACAACTTACGCGTCGGACTTCAAGACTTTATCACACTTCGATTCGCTCTTGGACCTTGTTGTGAATCTCTTGGCGCTATCCCTCTCGGCCGGGGAAGCATTCCTCCCTACCCCAGCCGCATACGACGATCTATTCTATAAAGTTGTAGAAAGCGGTGAGACATTAGTAAAATTCCGCGATACCTACAACCTATCAAGCCGTCCGTCCAATTCAATAGGCACGCTGATTAGTGTAAGCGCGCACTATAAGACGATGCTTGACTCGGGCGGTTCGAAACGAAACCTCACCAGCACGGAGGTGGCGGACGTGATCAAGCAAGGCTATGAGACGTTGAGTATCCAGGCGAAAGAAGGACTAGATGGCTGGGAAAGATTTCGCGAAGCAGACGAGAGAACGCTGCTCAAGAAGATGGCCCGCGCCACGGTTTCGGATGTGCAGGTCATCGTCCAAGCTAGGTAGCGTGGGTCGCAAGACAGGTTATGATGTGAAGTAAAAGTCGTGTGTCATAGAATAGAGTGAAAGTTCATCAGTGCGACCATGGTATGACTTCCTGCAAAATTGCTGCGAATAAAAATTCCCAAAATGAGAGTCAATAATCTTGCTTTTAAGGGGGGCGGCGGGGGGGGGGGGGGGGGGGGGGTTTGAAAAACAATAGGGGCCAATCAAATGTAAAAAAAAAAAAAAAAACGAATGACCGCGGGTGGGGTCGTCAACACCACCGTTGGATAACCCCAG